TTGTTCAGTTGTTTTAGTCATGTCTGACTCTTCATTATCTCATTCGGGGTTTTCTTCACAGAGATACCTGAACACTTAACCATTTCCTTCTCCAGCTCATTTTACACACAAGAACACTGAGGCAACCAGGGTTAAGTGACTTGCCCAGGGTCACACAACTAGTAAGTGTTTAATGATGTCTATCCATTGTACCACTGAGCTGAAAAAATGTAGACAGGGCATGCTTTTCAGTTTATTCTTTATCATTCATGCACCTGCAAAGCATCTGTGATACAGTAGAAAACCCCCTGAACTTAGAGTCAGAAGATTTGGGTTCAAATTCATGACTCCTCAGCTTATTTTTGTGTAACCTTGACAGGTCACACTCTTTCCAAATTCCTTCCCTCTATTAGAGAAGAAGATAATGGTGAGCATGAGTAGAGGTGGCAATTTATTCAGCATTTATGGCCACTACATGCTGGAGATTCAAAGACCACACCACACACACACACACACACACACACACACACACACACACACACATTCTACTTGGGGAATAGAAAATACAGGAAGATGTGAATGCTATGATGTACTTTAAGTAGGGATAGAACACTATTATGGGCATGGATCACGGAAAGCTTCACTGAGGAGGTGGCATGTAAGCTCAGTCTTGAAGAAAGAGAAAGATTCAAGGAGGGGAAGAAGAAGGAGGAGGAAGAGAGCATACCAAATACATGGGATATATGTGCAGTAGATAGGATGCTGAATTTGGGCAAAAAGTAATGTGCAACTTGTCTTGAACACAGGATTCATGAAGGAGGTAGTGGAAATAATATGGGAAATATAGGTTCAATCTAGATTAGGGAGACCCTTAAATTCTAGGCTGAGGCACATTCTAGCTATGATGGTGAACCACTGATGGTTATTGAGCAGGAGAGCGACACTATCAGTACTATATCTTAGGAAGATAATTTTGGCATTGTGTGAAAAAAAAAAGTTAGAAAGGGGGGAGACTGCAGTCAGGGAGACCAGGCAGGAGGCTACTCAAATAGTCCAGAAAAGACACGATGTGGGCCTGAATTAGGGTAGGGTTTGTGTGAAAGGGGAGGATGTTCTAGATATGAGAGACATATTAGACATGGACTAGACAGATATTGGCAACTGGCTGAGTTATGAAGGATGCAAAATGGAAGAAGACTCAAGGATAACTCGTAGGTAATAGATGACTGGGAAGATGTCTATGTTGTCAGCAGAAATAGGGAAGGTTGCAGCAGGGCATTTAATACCATAGCAACACTCTGGGGCATATGTTGTCTATTATTTCCATTTTGCAGTTGGTTTTACCTTAACCTCTTTTAGAGGCCAAGAAAGGCTGTGACTTGTCTATAGTGTCCAGGAATAAAGAATATCTTGCCCTAGTCAGTACATACTTTGCAGTTGTTTTGGGTTCCAGTCTAAGTGCCAGATTTTAGGGGAAAATGTTTAAAAGCTGGTGAGTGTCAGGAAGAATGTGACCAAGATGGTGAAAGGCTTTGATGAAGACACTGACACATGAAGATCAGTTGAAAGAATTCGGAATGTTTAAAGCAGAGAAGAGATGCCTGGAAGTGGTGGGACAGACATGATAATTGTATGAAAGGTTATCATGTGAGCTGGAGGACCACAGAATCAGATGTTTAGAGCTAAAGGGGACCTAAGAGGCTATTAAGTTCAACCTCCTCATTTTACAGGTGGGGAAACTGAGACCCAATGAAGTTAAGTGACTTGCCTAGGGTCACACAGTTAGCAAGTATCTGAGATAAATTCCAAACTCATGTGTTCCTGATTCTAAGACTAGTGCTCTATCCACTTCAGCTTCTTCTGCTTGGACCCAGATAGTGACTCATTGGAAGGCCAATAGATTGGAACAGTAGATGGCAGTTGACCATAGTCAGATTTCACCTTGATGTAAGGAAAAAACCCAAACATGCCAACAAGTAGAGATGTCCTACAGTGGACTGGACTGCCTTGGGTTCCAATGGATCCCTCTTTATGAGAAGTCTTCATGCAAAGGTTTCTTGACCACTTGTTGAACTATGGCTGGGATGAGACAGTCTCTGGGTTACCTCCCTCCCAACTTGGAGAATCTGAATTTTCATCATTCTCTGAGTTGAGAAATGAATGAGTAGTAAAGGAGTGGAGGCAGAAAGTTGAGAATATTCTTTCTATGAGTCTGGTCCTGAAAAGGGGGTAGAGGCATGGGATAATAGATTGAAGATGTGGAAGGATCAAGGACAGATAGAGTTGGGAAGATCTAAGCATGCTTGTAGGCATCCGGGAAGGATTGAGTACCTGAGGAAAGACGTGGAATGAGAACAAGGGAGGCAGGGATTATTGTAGCAAGATACCTGTGCAATGAAGTTATAACAAACAGAGAGCTCAGCCTCAGCAAAGAGAAGGGCCTTCTCTTCCTTTGAGGAGAAAGGAGAAAATATGAATATCATAAGATGAAAATATGGGGAGGTGTTGACCTCTCATTGAGATAATTGAACATTTTCCTTTCAGTATAATCTTTGTGGAATTTCTGGGAGAGGTAAGATTTGAGGGAATTTTTAAGCAGGAAATGTTTTTTAGAAAAAGAAGTTATTTTTAACAGTCATGTGCTAACAGTAAAGAAGGCATGAAGAGTCTGGGGGTACCAATCGGTGAGAAGGCAGACACAATGGGCCAAGGCTCTCTGTAACTCTGTGCTTGCATGGACAAGGTCCCATCATTGGAGTTTGACCCCTCTCCTCACAATCATCAGTTTCTCTTACTTTGGCTCATTCTAGACAATCCTTACCTCAATTAATCTAGAAAAACAAAGGTAAATTTTAGCTACAACTCATATATAGGGAGGGAAGGTGATACACTGAGGAGGACTGGGGATGATCAGCCCAGAAATTAGAAACAAGTTAGAATGTTCCTAAAAAGGATTATATCCACATGGCACAGTGGAAAAAATACTGAAAATGTAGACAAATGTTCTTGGTTTAGATCCTGATTTTGTTGCTTGCTACCTGAGTCACTGTGACCAATCACATAATCTATTTGAGCCTCAATTTTCTCACATGGAAAAAGGGTTAGACTAATTCAGTGGCTCTTAAACTTTTTGGTTTTGGGATCCCTTTACACTTTATTTTTTAATGCTATTTTGTTTTCCCCCAATTACATTTAAAAACAATTTAAATATTCATTGTTTTTTTTTCTTTCAAGTTTTGAATTCCAAATTCTATTGATTACCCATAAATTATGTTTCTTGAGCTTTTTAAATGCCACACTGCCCTGAAGGAGCCTTCAGTTCAAGATGGGAGACAACATGGAAACAGCTATGTAAAAACATCTATATTATATCTACATTTATTTGCATATTTCCATATTTGTATAAATCTCCATCTCTAGCCCTCTATTTTTTCTTCCTCTGTCTCTATCTCTACAGGGCAAATTGGAGATAATCTCAGGCTAACATGAAGGGGGAATGGGAAAGACTTCTTGCAGAAGATGGGATTTTATCTGAGATTTGAAGGAAGAGAAAGGAGATAACTACTCAGATGGGAGTTCTTAAATTTTTGACTCACAAATAGCAAGATGGCCCTCTCTGAAATGACTGCTGGTGGTGGTGATGGTGGTGGTGGTGGTAGTAGTGGTACCTAGAATTAAAGTTTAAACTGTTACTTCACCCCCACCCCAAACACATATTGCCTTGAATTTTTGGTGGAGGCAGCAGAAATGAGGCCACTCAGCAACTTTGTGTTTGTCTAGGTCTTTATTGATTTTTGGTGGTGGGGAAGGGGGGGGGGAAGCAGTGGCCATGGCCTTAGGCTAGGAGGACCTTGGGTGTGGGCCATTTGCTCTGGAACCTCTAACTTTGCAAGAGTCTATCTCTATCTCCTGGAGTTAGCAAAGGACCTCCCTCCCATAGAAGCCATCAGGAGCTGGCTGCTGGGGAGCTGGGGCTGTGGGTTACACTGTTCTCCACTCACAATTAAGTCCTGCTGTCTCTTGTTTAAAAGGATTTTTTGTTGTTGTTATTATTATTATTATTATTATTATTATTAACTTAATAATCATGGACAAAGTGGAATATTTGCTTGTATGAAGAAGAGGAAAGAGACTCATGTGAAATGCAACCTCTGTTCCATATGGTTTTTGTATGTATATATGTATGTATATATGTGTGTAAGTATGTGTGTGAGCATGTATATGAGTGTGTGAATGTCTGTGTATATATGAGTGCATGTGTATGAGTATATGAATGTGTGTATGTATATGAGTATATATATATGAGTACGTGTGTATGAGGGTGTATTCATGTTTGGTGAATGTATGTATGTGTCTAATTGTATGTGAATGAGACTGTGTGTATATGTATGAATGTGTGTATATATGAGTATATGTATATGAGAATGTGTGTGTGTATATATGTGAATGTATTATAAATGTGTGAGCATGAGAGTGTATGTGTGTGTGAATGTATATGTATGCATATGAGTATGTATATATGTGTGTGTAGGTGAATAAAAGTGTATATGTGTGTGAATATGTGTATGTGTGAATGTATGTGTATGAGTGTGTGAATGTATGTATGTGTGAATATATATGTATGAAAGCATGTGTATGTGTGTTTATGTATGTGTATGAGAGGATGTTTGTCCACAAAATTGAGCACAGGTAACACAATTGCCCCACTTATCTGGGTCTTCTGTTGTTTTTTCTGTACTTTTATTAGTGTTAGCATTTTATGCTCGTTTCCTTTTTTCTTCTTTCTCTTTCTTCTAAGAAGGAGGAAGAATCTACCAAGAAACAGATGTGATATAAAAAGAAAGACATTAATAAAATTGAACACATCTTCCCTTTATGCTTGCATCATTATCATAACTCAATGAACAAACCCTTGCCTCTCCTGACCCAGATGCCCTCCCATAGCCAATGAGTGGAGCAAATGAGCAGGTTCCCAGCATACTTTATGTCCTGACTTTACCTTCCTGGTTCTCGTTGGGCAGGTCAACATTGGCATTCTCATTGCTGTGACCAGAGTCATCTCCAGATCAGTGCGGAGAACTACAAGGTCCATGGAGAGGCGAATGGTTTTAAGTAAGTCCTGGCTCCATGTTATTCATGTGAATACACTTTAATACTTCAGGGCTCAGGCTGGGGAGTTAGGAGACACAGAATCTGTCCTGTTCCCAGGTTGGTTCATTACTAGCTATGTGACTGTGGCCAAGTCCCTTCTGCCTCTAGACATAATTTTCCTCATTGGTGAGGATAATATGCCCTTCCCTGGCTACCTCCCTGGACAGTGGTAAGAACTGAGTGGCCAAACAAGAGTGACAAAGCTTGGAAAATGACAAAGCACTGCCTTTTATCATAGCTCACATTTACACAGCAATGTGAGATTTATTAAATACTTTACTTACATCATATTATTTGATCCTCACAACAATTCAATAAGGTAGGTTCTCTGTTTGTTTCCATTTTACAGACAGAAAAACAGCTTCAGAGAGGTCAAGTGATGTCACCTAGATAATAAGCATCAGAGGCAGGGTTTGAATCCAAGTCAGCCTGACTCCAGGTCCATCATTCTAATCTGTCTCTAATATAAAAATCTTAAAGTGCTGTATAAATGCTGGTTATTAATAACCTCTCTTTCCTTCTTTCCTTCCTTCCTTCCTTCCTTCCTTCCTTCCTTCCTTCCTTCCTTCCTTCCTTCCTTCCTTCTTCCTTCCTTCCCTTCCTTCCTTCTTCTTTCTTTCTTCTTTTTTCTTTCTTTCTTCTTTCTTTCTTTTCTTTCTTTCTTTCTTTCTTTCTTTCTTTCTTTCTTTCTTTCTTTTTTCTTTCTTTCTTTCTTTTTTTTCTTTCTTTCTTTCTTTCTTCCTTTCTTTTCTTTCTTTCTTTTTTTTTTTTCTTTCTTTCTTCTTCTTTTTTCTTCTCTTCTTCTCTTCTTCCCTTTCTTTCCTTCTCCTCTTCTTCTTCTCTTTCTTCCTCCTTCCCCTCCTCTTCTTCCTCTTCTCCCCTCTTCCTCCACCTCCTCATCTTCCTCCTCCTCTTCATCTTCCTTCTCCTTCTCCTCCTCTAAAATCCTTAGATATCATGTAGTCCCATTTCCTCATTTCATGAAAGAGGTGGCTGAATGCCAAAGAGCAGTGACTTGTGCTATGCTATTTGGAGGACTAGGACAGCTAGGCGACACAGTAGATAAAGAACTCATCCTGAGGTCAGAAAGACTTGATTTCAAATACAGACTCAGACACTTACTAGCTGTGTGATCTTGGGCAAGTCACTTAACCCTGTTTGCCTCAGTTTCCTCATTTATAAAAAGGTCTGGAGAAGGAAGTGGCAAACCACTCCAGTATCTTTCCCAAGAAAATCCCAGAGGGGGTCAGGGAAAGTCAGATACAAATGAAAACAACTCAGCAGCAAGCTGCAGGAACAGGAAGATGATGGCCTTGCTGTACTCAGCCCTTGTCAGACCTTACCTGGAGCGTTGGGCTCAGTCTCATGTTCCATGGTTTAAGAAAGACACTTAGAAAGGGGGAGAATGTCCAGAGGAGGCCAGTGAGGAGGGTAAAGAGCCTTAATCTTATGTTTTATGCAGATCAGTCAGAAGAACTGGATGAATTTGGCTTGGGAGGACAGAAGACTTGAGGTGAATGTGAGAACAGTCTTCAAGTATCTGATGGGCTGTCATGTAGAGAAGGGATTTATTTACTCTGTCTGGCCCCAAAGAGCAGAACCAGAAGCAATACATGGAAGCTACAGCATTTTGTAGAGGACTGAGCTTTGAGTTTCACATCGAGAAGACCTGGGTTCATATCCTGCCTCCTATTAGCTGTGTAACTAGACTCCTTGAGGTCAGAGACCTTCTGTTTTCATAGTTGTATCTTCAATGCTTACTTAGCATAGAGCCTGGCACATAGTAGATGCTTAATAAATAATCAGTGACTATTGGCCGTGGGCAAGTCAATGAGCTTCTCCAGCCTCAGTTTCATCATCTGTAAAATCTGTAAAATGAGCTTAGTCTTCACTGAACTCTTAGGTCTCTTCTAGATATAAAGCTGTGGCAATGTTGCCAGGAGGCAGATTTGACCTTGATGTGAAGGGGAAAGTTTTTCCTAACAATTAGAATTTGTCCAAAGGTGGGATGGGCTGCCTAAACAGGTAGTGTCTTCCCCTTCCTGGGAGGTCTCTGAGCAGAGACTAGAGGACCACTTCTCTGGTATGTTATAGTGGGGATTCCTTTCACATTTGGGTTGGATTAGATGGCCATTATGGTCCCTTTCAGCTCTAAGATTCTATGGTCTATAATCCTATGACCTCAAACCCTAGCTATGGTACTTTGTACTTGCGTGGTTTTGGGCAAGGCATTCAACCTCCATAGACCTCAGTGCACTGCTCTGTTAAATGACAAGTTCAGATTCCTTGCCCTCTGAAGTCCTCTCAGTCTCTAGATCCATGACCCTGGGGTTTCCAAGACAAACTTAGCTGACTTCCCATTGTTGCTACCTATGGGTCAATACTTTCCCTATAAATCTGCTGTACTTGTATCCACTTTCATTCTGGAACACTTAGGCTGATTTCTTAAATACCAGCAATTTTCAGCTCTCAGTGGCACCAGCATAATTAAAGTTACTTTTGTTATACTACATCATTTCCATAGTGAAAGGGAAAACAGTAAATATGCCTGCACCAAAAATCTATAAGACAATTACTCTGCAATGAATTCAAAATATTAGAAATTAAAATGACAAGCTCTCAGGGTCTCACAGCCTTCAGAAACCCATAGAAGGCAGCAATGTGTAAGGAGACAGATCTTGTTCGGCCATGGACAGTAGGTATTTATTTGAACACCAGCCTCTGTTTGATGTCAGTGGAGTGACCAAATTTGCTACTTTCCAGTGAGGCCCCTGATAAATAGGTAGATAAATAGAGATAGAGAGATAAATAAATAGAGATAATTGATAGTAGAGAGATGGAAGGATAGACAGATAATTGATATATAAATAGATACTTGATAAATAGATAATTGATAGATAGATAAATGTAGGTAGATCAATAGAGATAGATAGATAGATAGATGGATAAACAGGTTGATAGAGAGGTATAGATCACCTTATATCTATTAGATCTCTATTCACTATCAGCCTATCAATCTTTCTATATGATCTATCTTTCTAGCTATCTATCTAATTTTTCTATCATCTGTCTAGCTGTATACCTATTTATCTATTTGTAGTCAACAGGTACAAGTTCTTTTGGGGATAGGAAGGGCCCAAGGAACCAGTGGATCAGGAAGGCCTCATATAGAAGGTAATGCTCATACGCAGTCTTGGCGGAGTCCAAGGGTTCTTGGAAGTGCAGGGATTTCCAGACATGGAGGACAGTCAATGCAAAGTCATGGGGACAAAAAATGGAGTTTCTCTCCATGAAAGATTGTTCATCCCCCATGATTCATGGAAAGAAGAAATTGAATGGTTTTCTTACTGAGCTGAGCATGAGCATGTCAGCGGGCTATGGTTTCAAATTAGCAGAAGATGAGGGCTTGACTTATGTTGGGTCAACTTGCTGAAGGATGTAAGTTTCTTCTTGGGAGGCAGTGACATGGAGCAAAATGGACATTGGCACGGAACAATAATAACCTCTTCTGGGACACTTCATGCATGCTTCCTCACCAATAACAATGTGGCGACTTTAGTAAACAAGCCCATTTGGTCGGGGAGAACCTGCTGAAGGTCACAGGATGCTCCTTGGAGCCCTGCCATCACAGGGGTCTTGTCAGGAGTCCACCAGGAGGCCACCACTCATTAGGCACCTACTCTGGTAGAAACTCTCATGCATTACCTGCAAAGCTTAAAGGACTTGAAAGGAAAAGGCTTAATTCACCCCAACAAACATTTATTGAATGCCAACCTACTACATGCAAAGCACTGTCCTAGATGCTGTAGGGGAATACAAATCCAGTGTGTTTCCTACTACACTTCCCTGACTCCCATCATTCAGGGTATTTTATTTATACTATTCGTTTGGCACTTATCACACAGAGTCTTGTGTTCTTCAGGGAATTAGGCAGTACATACGGCACATAGAACTCTAAGCTTGGAGTCAGGATGTTCAACTGTTTCAGCAGTGTCTGACTCTTCATGAGCCCATTTTTGGGGTTTTCTTAGCAGAGATGCTGGAGCGGTTTGCCATTTCCTTTTCCAGCTAACTTTGCAGATGAGGAAACAGGCAAATAGGTTGAAGTGACTTGGCCAGGGTCACAGAGCTAATATGTGTCTGAGGCTGGATTTGAACTCAGGAAGATGAGTCCTCCCGACTCCAGGCCTAGCACTCCATCCACTGGGCCACCTCAGTTCATATGCAGCCTAGGACATTTACTAGATACGTGAATGGGCAAATCATTTAACCTCTTAGCCTCAGTGTCCTTATTTGTAACATGAGTGGGGTTTGCACTACATCTCCAAGGTCTCTTGTAGCTATACTTCTATGATCCTTCAACTCTCTATTGAAATATAAGCCTTTTGAGGGCAGGTACTGGGTGCTTTTCATCTTCGTATTTCACCCAATTTTGCCTGTGGTAGATCCCTGGTTAACACTTACCAAATGACTGGATAGATAAGATTAATTCATTCTAGGTAGTGCAGTGGATTTCTAGAACTTTGAACTAGGATTTAGGAAGACCTGAGATCAAATTCTGCTTTAGACACTTCCCAGCTGTGTGACCCTGGGCAAGTCATTTTACCTCTGCCTGCCTCAATTTCCTCATCTGTAAAATGGAGATCATAATAGCATCTACCTCACAGGGGTGTCATGCGGATCAAATGAGATAGTAGTAAAGTGCTTAGCACAATGCCTGGCACTCCGTAGGTGCTTAATAAGTACTTATTTCCTTCCTTCCAAGAAGGAACAGGATGACAGAAAAAGAAAGAAGAGAAAAAGGTCTGAGAGACAAAAGATGGACACATCTGAATACCACAAATTATGTCTCCTTTGGTTTCCATTTTCACATCTGTTGAATATAATCATTCTCCTGATATAGATGGTGTGACTTTAACATGCAGAGACTGAAAAGGTGCCCCTGTGTGTGCGTGTGTGTG